GATGAGTAGGTTGAGGAGATGGATGGCGTACAGCCGATCCCGCTACATGGTCGAGAATCTTGTTGTGTGGGTATCTTTGAAAGCCAATGGGGGTGCCAGCACCAGACTGAGCGCCATCATTGCTCCCGTAGAGCTTGGGAGCTGATCCGGTGGGAAGGACGTGGCCATTGGCATGGCCATCTGAATGCGGGGGGGTGGAAGCGGGGGAAGCCATGATGTGTGTTCGCGTCTTTTACAACGGAGAGTTGAGAGGTTGATGAAGGGAAAGAAAGAGGGTGAAGTAAACTGCTGGTGTTAAAGAGTGTTAGCGGTGAGTAAGGAAATGAAAGTCAAAAAGAAAGTTCATGGGAGGGGACGTCGTTAGGAAGCTTCATAGATAAGAAGGATACACAAGCACAGGCAAGGAACCAGCATCTGCACGACGGGAGAGATAAGACGGTAGGCAGTCAAGGAACATACCAGGACAGACAGCGATCGGGAGAGGAATGAGTCAATTCAGCAATTGGGATATGAGAAAGATGGATAGAGAGGATAGTCTGTTGCGGCGGAGGAATGACGAAACCACGGCTAACAGTCAACCCGGGAAAGAAGCTTATCGGAGATAGAATGGAAGAGAAAGACGTTGCCTGTGATCCATGTAACGGACAGGTCAACTTTGAGGGACGAAAATGATTATGAGAATCAATTACTATCAGGCACCGAACAACGGAGGGAGAGCTTCCTTATATACAGACAGCACTTGATGGAATAGTATCAAACTGTCCCTTGACTGACCTGAAATCTGAATACACTTTTGATACAACTTTCCGGCTCTATGCGATCGGCCAGGCACGGGGCCGGTCCGGGGCAGTGAGGAAAGAGGCAAAAGTCTTGAACTTCAATTTTGCTAGTGGGTTCCACTTCCGCCGGCGTTATTATGACGAGGATCTCTACTATGAAGAATTGTCTTTATGGAGTACTTCTCCTTCTCTTCCATGTATCAGTGCTCAGTTCTCTTCACTTCCTCTTCTTCAACTCTACAATCTTCGTCTCATTCCATACCCATTCCATACCAACGGCCATGCCATAGTAGATGACAATTCTCCTCAGTACAGGTCGGGTTCAGTTAAATTTCCTAAAACAGGCAAGACTGAAAATGGCGCAAATGAGGTAAGAGAAGGCCAGATGGGGGAAAATACCGCATTGTCCCAAGATGATTGGCTATAAAAAGGGGTTAAATTTGGAAAAATTGCCTCAGCACGTTGGAGACAGCTGGCGTCATGTGTGGCTAGGTATCTTACAATACGGAGTACCTTACCTTACCTTAGCATCCAACTAGGTAACTCTTCCTTACCAGGTAATTACACGTTACCACCATTCACCACTGAAACACTCCCTATTTTCAATATCTTTAAAGATCAAGTGACACCTTTTAGAACTATTCATAGGCCTATGTTTCAATAGTAGCATTGTAACAGCGGCAATGGCATAGCCCTTCCCCGGATTCAGTGCACGCCGTTGAGGTCCAGGCTCTCCCTGAATTCTAAGCAACAGTTCAACAAGGGAGACTGGAAAAAAATTAGTCCATCAGCTGACTGGAACCAGTCACGTCCTCCACTTAGTAGGGCTGGATCTTCCCAAATGGGATTTCAATGTGTCATGGTGGCCAGAGTTCACAAATCATCGTCTGCTATTGTTGCATGCGAGATGGTTCCTTCCTTTTCTCCTGCGTAATAATATGCCTCAGGAGAAAATGCCGCAAATTGCGCAACATGCTGTGCTTCATATGAAGTACCAAGGTTGATAGTGCAGTGTATGGAGGAGTATATTGACGATCTATATGCGCTATGTCAAGTTTGAGTACGGCCCCAGATGCCATATAGGTAGCTAACGACCTCCTATTTTGTTCTTTACCTACTGCCTGCTGGAGCGCATGTCCACTGCATCGTTTACTAAGGAACTCTCTGGGCATCCGATGTAGAAGTTGATATCTCGACTCGGCTGTTTTCCGTATACCCCAGTGCAACCGCGCTCTGACCATCCTAACAAGATCGACGTCACTAAAGTAAGCCGTAGAAAACAGCAGAAACACTGACTCGGTAGAACTGATCAATCAGGCTTCACAGTACTGGAGACCTTGGAGACTTCTCCATGTCTACCGCCTAACGGATCGTCCGAACAGAATTTTCATCGAGACTGCGGGGTTAGTCCGTCCCTACGGTACCTGACTTAGACTCCCTAGTCAATTTGCGGGGTGATAGTAGTATGGAGTGGACTACTTGGTAGGTCGTCGATGATTTACATTTTGGAGTAAGTAGTCAAAATTAAAACCTGATCCTCGTTCTAGACAGGACCATTTCAATCACATCATCGCCAGCACGGAGTTTCCATTATTTTCATTATTCAATTAATGGCTCAATCGTCCCCCATAATTACCCCATACGATCAGTTCTATCCCAACGGGAAGGAAAATTTCAAAGACATTGCGGGGTTCGTCTGCATTGATCGGAGGATGAGATCCAACCAGACTCGCCCATGATCCCATCCCGGTCTCCACTTCCCGGTGGGTTGCCCGTGATGAGGTAAGAAGAAGTCGTCCTTGTCCTACTCTGGCACCTGAGGCTTCTGGGCTTCGGGACTGTCATTCGGCTATACAATGACGTGTTGCCGAGTAGGCTTACGGGACAGGCGTTCAGACCTCGAGAGTCGGGACAAACCGCAGGACAGGAATCACTTGCCTCGCGCAGTTATCAAATAACCATTCAGTATGCACTTAGCTGGCGCAATCAGTCTGTCGTAAATCGCACACAATTGAACTGCATGTCGTCGTTTGATCCGGTGACAATGTCATGAGCGGCTGGGCTGGACTGAAAACGTGGGATACTTCTGGCATTGGTCTGAACATAAGTATGGTGCAAGCCTCGTATGTGGGAGCTGTACTCATAGCTATGCGTTCTGTTGGGCCGACATCCTTGCATTCCAGATATTCAGTTTGCTCAAGTTCAGCTGCAGGGCTGTAAGTAAGCTCAAATTGAAACATGACCATAGTCTGCCCAGGAACTTGTCCACCGATATGCATTTTTGTTCTGTGCTTAGAGGTACATAATGCATTTGGTGGCTGCTGATGTATCTACAGCACGTTTGTGTTGAGTACCCTTGTTGGACACGACGTAGCTACAGATATCAGTGCATCATTGCATAATGCCAGGATCACCAGCAAGAGTTCTCGTTCTCGGCTCACGATCTAGAAAACCTCCAATGCGCACCCTAAGCTGCGAGGTTCGTCCCGCCCCGAGTATCTAGACAGATAAGAAAGCAGGGCGTGGCTGAACAGCGGTGTACTAATGGCAGCGTGGCCACTGTCCTGCGGTGAGAATGATTGCTCTTCGATAGCTGCTCACCAGACTTATCAACTAGTGTGAGCATTATCATTGTGCATGTTTTGATGTTCTGGACCATCAATTGGATGATAAATACTCTGTACCCTATAGAAGAAAGTTAAAGCTAGCTACTAGCAGAAAAGAGGATTCTCCGAGGTACCCCAGGATCCCACTAAGACCATTAACGGTCTTAAGCCAGGTAAGCCATTAAAAAGGGGAAGTCAACCAAGCACTATATGCCTCAGATTGTTTTATATGCATGTTGTGAAGTTACGTGCGCGTGATACTCTTGAATATAACACCCAATAATGATCAGTATTATCTGGCTGTTTGTTGTCCTTGATTCAAATCACCTAATTTCGCTCAATCCAGGTGGTTTTTCTGACACTTACCCAAGCCTAACTGCAATCTTCAAATTCACAGAGGTTGAATACTGCTTCCTGGATAATACTTCTCTGTACCTTAAGCATCTCAGTAGCATACCTATATGCCTCCTCTTTGGCCTCCTTATCCCACCTATGCTCCCATCCATCCATCGAATGACATACGACATTATGTCTCCCACCTCCTGAACCTTACTTGTAAGCTCCTTCCCTTCAAGGGTGAACAGATCCTGTGCCGTAGTAATTATCTGTACATTACTAGAGCAACATTAGACCTGCGCATAACAGCAACAGCCATGGGTCTCTAAAATCAGTAACGCGCGAATTGCGATGACACGAATGACAGAACTCTGAGAACCTGGGGAAGATTGTCCAGATCACAAAGCTGGATTTTGCACAGGATCCTTGGCTCTCATGGCCATGAATATGTCTGTCATGCCATAGAAGCACGTTACAGAGCATATGAGCAATCCATCGCTCTCTTTGGCTCTGCATACGGGCGGGGACGAGGTATCGCCAGTGCTGGAGTAGCGCCTGCGCTGAACGAGGATAGGGGACTGCGCGATGTGTCAAATCTTTCCTGGTGAGATCATATCCAGCTCAGTGCGTCTCTGACATCGTTGTGCGCAGCGCCAGGCAGAATAATACGTCAATCAGCGTGTAGCCTGTGTGATGCGCGATATACCGGCAGGACTCATCGTCAGAGCCAATCAAGGTGATCACAAAGCTGCTGCCACAGAAGCTGAGGAGAACCAGGGAAGGCGGCAGTGCTTGTTGGCCTCTGTAGACATGAGTGTGATGAGTGTGATGAGTCTGATGAGTCTGATGAGTCTGATGAGTCTGATGAGTCTGATAGTGCGATCAGAATCTCGAGACGTTATGGTCTCGAGTTCATCAGGATGACGGTCGGTTGGTTTTGATCTGTAGGCGATAGTAACCCAGCAGAAGGCCGCAATGCACTTTCTCCAGTAGAGTTCCATGCCCATACTTGCTCATAATGTGTTAGTTATGGAGGCAGGTCGACCACCAAGTTCATGTTGGGGGCTTTTCGTATGTTTGAAAAGCAGGACAGGGATCGCTCTTATATGATGGTCTAATGCGATGGATCGATGGCCAATTGCACATCGTTGACCATGATACGGTAGTGATGTTAGGGTCGCGGTAAAAAAAAATAATTAGGGGACACGTTTATTCGAGGAATAGGAAGAAATCAGGAAGGGTGGGAGAGGGAAAAGAAGGAGAAAAAAAAAAGATGGGATGAGGCTGACCCGACTTGAACGGATAACCTTAAGATCTGGAGTCTCTGTTGCATTGTTAGACAATGTTGATTGAACTGTTTAGTGTAATTTGGAACTTACCACGCGCTACCAATTACGCCACAGCCCCAATGGTTGCATTTTTGGGCATCTCATTAAAATTTGTAGGCATTGTAAGATTTCAAGCAACAATACCTCCTCATGTCTACGTAGGCGACTGGACATGAACCTTATCCGTCAGACGTTGCTAGTCATAATAAGTAAATTGCCCTCTACATAACCTCCAAAAATGAGTTCTTAAGATGGGATGGTATGTTGGCCGGGTACGATCAGACTCCTCACGGACTATCCATATAAACCTTGCTGGCATTGTACCTCTCGTACACTGAGTGCAGACGATCTCATGTAAAGGTCTGCAGACCTCACTTGGGCTAATAGTGCTGGACGAGTCAAGTCTAAAAGCAGCTCGTGCATCTCGCAACATTCTGAGGACCAAAACTATGCACATCTTCCCATTGATGCTTCAGTATTATTACTGCGTCAATGGTCCTCCGCATAGAACCACACAAACAGAGCAAAAAAGATGTATGAGGCTGACCCGACTTGAACGGATAACCTTAAGATCTGGAGTCTCTGTGGAAATTTGTTAGAACAAATTGATTGATTGTAAGACTGTTGATAGAACATACCACGCGCTACCAATTACGCCACAGCCCCGGAGGTATATACCCGATTTGGTTTTACTTGCTTATATGACAGGCAGCATACGTAGCTAAGCGATGCTGACAGCTTTCCAGAAGATAGGTCTACTGCCACTGTGCAGCTTGTTACATATGCAGTCATGTGAGATATACATGAGGTACCCTATTGACAAATTTATTGTTAACTCTTCCTTGTCAAATCAAAAGTTTATTATGATATGAGAGACAGGAACCATGCATAAGCATTAATGACTTTGCACCATTCGCTGTCAGCATCAGCAGGTCTAGTTTTATCTGATTGCAGCCAGCACTAATACCAACTTTATCTGCTCGTAAGACATAAACAGTTATATGATTGCTCATAAAGTTATGCGATATATAATATATTAGGCATTCAGACAGAACATAAAGATTGGGTCAACCAAGAGAGTTCAGGTAAATCAACAAGTGTCTCAATGAACATCCCCCACGCAGAGCCTAAGGTTGTTGCAGCACTCTATTCTCTTCCATAAGGGAGGATAATGAACGGCAATTGTGTCACTTATATGTTGATTGATATGAGCAACACATTTATAGGAATTGTAGGTCTCTTCAATTGGGCAACATTATACTGATCATTGGGTATTTTCTAGAGGATACAGATACCCATGTTGGACATTTCATAGACTAGGGTATTACGATTCCTGAGTATTCCAGCATGATAAAATCGATTGGAGCCACTGTTTGTCACCTAAGGGGCTGTGGCGTAATTGGTAGCGCGTGGTATGTTCTATCAACAGTCTTACAATCAATCAATTTGTTCTAACAAATTTCCACAGAGACTCCAGATCTTAAGGTTATCCGTTCAAGTCGGGTCAGCCTCATCCCATCTTTTTTTTTTTTTTCCTCTCTGTCACTCACCTTTTTTTTATATTGTTTGGCAATACAGAGCGACACTTTATTGCCAATGTAGCAAAGTAACTATATGGTTATGATTCCATAGAGCAAAGGACCATGCGCTTTTGACAGTTCTCAGTTTAAAGATACGATATTTGACGTGTAGCACTTCCGCGGGCATATATATTTCACCCCACCGCGCTGCAGCTTATACTGTATCAACTACATGGAACTTGGCTAACACGCCTGAAATATATGTTATGAAAACATGGAATCTATAGAACTAATTTTACAATAGATGACTGGTGAATGCTTCCAAGAAAACCCCTGTTTCGATGTCCCTCATAGCATGGGGAAAGAAAACACAGGAAAACGCAAGGGAACAAGCAAGTCGTGTCAGTTCGGCGAAACAGATGTCCTGAATTTCCTGACCATCACAGGAATATGATGGCCAAACAGGCAACACACTTGCTATTCGAGTGCAAGCTTGTTCTTATGCTCACAGCTGGAGCCGAGGTTAGCCATGGTAGCTACAGAACGGCCGAAGCATTCTGCACTGGATACGGCAGCTCGGCGACCTTGAAATATTTCCTGGCAAGGCTCTGGCAGTGGCAGCAATCGGGAAATTGTCTCGAGTATGGCCTAAGCGACCTCATTGACCGTTTCAGACAATTAGCAACCATTCTAGTCACTTGACCCCATGCACTATTAACCTTAGTAGTCTATGAATGCGATCGCTGAACAAAGAAATGAGTCGATCTAATCATGTAGCAAGGGTAAAATTTGAACGTAGAGACGTTTATATTAATAACCCAATAATTGGATCCTCCATCCATAGAAGATATTCAGAAGCAGAATATTCCGTATCTACTGTCACATTACGAGTTTGTCGCATACCCCATCGGGCAAAGAAGACGAAGAATTCCCAAAGGGGATATAGCCCGAGAGGTCAATCAAGTATCCACAGAATAATGAATTCTTTCCGGATTCTAGAAGCTGATTGAAACACGTAAAAGTATAAACTCAACGGAGGCATCGGATCATGTAGATGGGGGTCAGAGAGATGACAGTACTGTATCACAATGAGACTGGGGCTCCATTGCAGCTGATCGATGGAGTGTTTAAGAACGTATTTCCAGGAGATGAATTAGTAGCAAAATACTACGAGAGAAGTTGACGAATAATGAGAACAGTAAGGTAACAACATGGTATGACACTGGCTACTGCTCGGGTTTTCATTAGAAAGGCCGAAGAATACTCAGTGTACTCGCTACTCCGTAACCTAGGTCTGTAGCAGAGTTGTTGAGCGTAAGCCATGATGAAGCATTTGAAGCCCCTTAATATAATAAACATATGCGCAGTAATGATATTTGAATAACTTCCCCATTTCTACGATGTTACCAGTGTATATCGGAGATCCAATTGATTTGATTGATGTCCACTACAGGAGAGAGTAGAGAGGATCAGCTTGTGGGAGGAAATCATCTTCCTTATGGAGTGATTTGGAGTGATTCCCTTAGGAGAACTCCATATAACCCCCACTATCTAGTCTAGTCTAGTCTATTGGGATTCTTGAATTCTTCCATCGAAGTTCTAGGCAAATGCACCAGCTCCTAGATACCTCTCCGACAGTTTGGTTAGCTTCAAGCCGATCGCCGCCTCCTGCGTAAGGACTGATATATGAACGCATAGTCGTGATGGTCTATTGGATATAGCTGGTCTTTAATATGGATCCCTTACGGAGCTTCCCCGGAATTTCGAGACTTAACATCAACAATACGGTTTAGCTTCTAAGAATGGTTACATCTTCCATTAACCGGTGAAGTTATTCCGTAGTCTACTCCATATTCCCATAGAACGCTCTCAAAGAATTTCGTTTACTTTTCTTCTTTTGCTGGTTGGCAGGCTACTCCGTCACAGAATTAGGTTGGCATGTTTTCTGCCTGACTCTGGCCGTAAGGGAGCAGTGGATGTTTCTGACTCTCGTATCTTTGAGACAAATAATAAGTAGATACCCAGACAAGGCAGAATGTGTGACATGTCTGCCGGTACATACAGTAGTAGTACTTAATGCTCAGGCAACATCTGAATGAACATTATTTTCTCCGTACGATCACCCCCTTTCCCGAACAAGAATCCAAATCCGTCGCAAAATCCCTGACTCGATCTTTCCCGGACTTCCGGTGGCCCTTCGAATTCTCCCTTTGCTCCTTACAGTAGGAGAGGTACTATGCCTAGCTTTTGGCAATTGTGGAAGACTTGGCAGCTCTTTCAAGGCTTTCATCCCCACAGTCTCCATCGAATGCACACGTATGCACTCCGATCTCCATACTTTCTCCAGCTTCTTCCTTATCCACCGGCTGTTCGCCTGCCTATCAGGTATTCCGGTCACTTGCATATTCCCCATCTTACCCCCTTTGTTCCTAATTCTCCCACCACCAGAGCCACCTAACTACCCAAGGTGGCCTTGCTTTTCCCCCAGAGGACAATAGCTTTCCCCCGGGTTACGTTCCCGCCCTTCCGTCCGTCGTGGCAAGCATGCGCGATGTACACTAAAGCCCGCCTGGATACCCAACGGACCAACAACACCACTCACTACTACTAGTCCAGTGGCCCCTAGGTCTCGGATGAAGCCTCATTCAAATAAATGCCAGAAAAGCAGGGCGAGCGCCCATCGTACTTCGAGGAAAACACCCTGGATCCCTTTAGGGCGATGATCCGTAACGGTCAAACATTTGCCTGGACCTAGACTAGGCGATGGACTTTACAAAAGGGTGATGGGGATATCCGACTGGGGAAAAAAATAACAATAATAATAACACTACCTAATATTTGTCCGATACGATTAAAATGATCTATGGATGTTTGACTGGATGCTTCAGCAATGTACACTAGCTCCTGGCCGGGCCCCCAATCCTCATTTATATCGGCTAGATGTCTCCCTAGGTCCTTTAGATGCTTGATCATTCTTTCACTTTTCATCTTTACTGCTTTCTCCAGTTTTTCCAGAGCATACTACCACATTCTCTATATTCTGGGCCCCCCGTGGACAGCTCACCAGCTTACAGCTAGCCACCCGTCACCACTCATAGTGTTGTATCCAGAGCCTGAGTACCCTCAGCTCTCTGTACTTTCTCTCCATACCATATTATATCTCTTGTCATACCATCTGCTGCTGTGACCTGGGACTGTTCTCTCGCTTAGCCATCCCACGCTGCTTGTACAACCCTGCTAGCAGCCTTTCGACCTCGCCGAGGACCTTGTATATCATTACATCATCGGGGATAATCCTCCATCGTACGTGCACCCAGTCCAGGTAAGCTTTTCTCGATTTGCTTTCTCTTCCCTGTCCCCGATGAAGGATCTTCACGAGCGATTCGCCTTCTCCAAAGACTCAAAGATTACATCACATGGCATTCGGCGATGGAGCTGTTCTCCTCATTCTGCTTCGGCCCTACTCCTTTATCGGGGATTCTCGGAGGCACATCTTTCGGATAAAGGTAGCTAACAAGGGTATCCTCCCTATATAGATTTATACAGCTTCTTCCAGCAGCTTAGTCCAATTTTTCCCAATCGTACTCCTACCTCAGTATCTTTCCATTGGACTCCAGCTCACCTGGGTCATCGTCATTCCCAACAACAATACAACCACAAGTATCACTCGCCATGGCCTCACCAATCCCTTCACATCCTCCCTCCCGTCCTACCCTCGTGACACCCTCGACCTTTACCCAGGACATCTCCCGCGCGATCCTCGCGTCCGCCGACGGCCCCAAGTCCATCCATCTCGACTCGCATCCTCACGGAGCGTTGGAGTATCCCCCTCCTCCTCCCCCGTCGCCCGTCGAGTCAAGAACAACACATTGTTTCTGGGGGAGAGAGGGGAAACGAGCTTGACCGTCACTACCAGCTGCTGCCTTGTCTGCGACAAAGTACCATATATCTGTGCATTCTGACTTTTATCCTTCTGCTGTTCTATGGAGCCGGATTTCAGGTTGTTTCGGTTTTTGTTTTCCCTTGCTTTTTCAGCGAGCTCATCTCTTTCTCGGTGGTTCTGTCAGAGTACGTTAGGAATTGGGTTGAATTGGTTCGGTTTGGAAAAGCAGGTATTGACCATCGTCTTATTGATTCATTTGGTTTCGGATCTTCATGGCGTCGCGAGTCGTTTACAATGTGATATAATATCGACTAGCTAGCGAGTCTTCATAATCACATCTTGTTATGACTTCATTCCCTCCGTCTCGTAGGATGCATCCACGAACTAGATTGTGCTTTGTATATCAGTTACCTGCAGGCACACAGCTCTGTTCCACAAGACTATGGAGTCCAGTCGACATATCACGCGTAAGCATTATCACGATGATGCATGGACTCTTCCGGTTCAATGCTTGTCCAGGCCAATAGAACGTACAAACATACGGCACGTTAGTCACATCAGTCGAGATGCGGCGAGAGCAAGCCAAAGTATTCTGTAGGTTCTGGTTCGACGCGAGGCCCAGCAGTTACCTTTACACTATTGTGCACTGCATAGTAAGGTCGAGGAGCGCCTTTGTGGCTCATCCGAGTGTGTTACCGGTCAGTGACTGCCTCGAGTGACCACATGGCAGATTCATTCTGACGCTGGCGTGCTGCATCATCGTATTGTGCCAACAATCGTCCATATAACTGCAATGGCACTTGCTGCGATTAATTCAAGTTGATCTCGCAGGTAACCGGTGAATAACAATGGCGAACTTTTGTAGACACATCAACGGGGCTGGATTGGTTCGTCCGACACCCCTGGCCCAAACTTCTGACCATTGATCTCAGTGTAGAGCTCTTCCAACGCGGTCAACGCCACGGTATCTCCTCGACTCGCAGCTTCGCTAAGCCGCTGGACCTCTGCAAGTTCCTCCTCCGTGCGAGCCCAGCCTCGTAGTCGATCCTCCAGATTTTGGGTACGTTTCGTACTGAAGACTGTGCGCACAGTGTCAGTCTCACCTCTTTC